CCAATAGCGCTTCATATTCCTAGCAAATGTGGGTCTATGAATCAGCAAAGCTCCACCAGGAGAAGCGACTAAGGTCTTCGACCTGCAATGGATCCAAGGCTCATGGTATCCAACCATGCCATACCAAGGATAAGGTCATACTTTGCGTCTTGTTCTAAGACTAAGCTGTGTTCCACGCTATCAAAGTCAAGAAACTTGACATTGAGACCACAGGGTCCCTCGGCACAGTGACACAAGTCGCCGTCGCCAGGCGAACAGTGACGGTGTCACTCAAGTGCGCTTTCAGGGCTTCACGATACAGCTGACTTCCTTCGATCGTGGAGCGTCAAGCATAATTACCCGACGCCCCAGAATTGATAAGGATCTTTCTTGGCTTCTCTGAGCCCTTCACGATCGCTTTCACTACCAGCAAGCCCGGCGTGTATGCAAGCCGGGCTTGCATACACGTTCCATGTTCAAGAGCACGGAGCTCTTCGAGGCTGGGCTCTGCACCTACTGGGTTTTCTCGTTTTTTTCCGCGACAAACCAGACTGGTTAAAAGCGGGACGTCGACGTCGATTCGATGAACCTTTACGCGCCTTGCGCAGGGGACAACCAGTCCGAAGGTGACGGATGTCTCCACAGACAAAACACCGTCGGGTATTTAAACGCTGCAGTGCATCTCGGAGCTCCTCCTCCTCTTACTCAGCGAAGCTGAGATCCATTGGTTCAGGTCCGCTCGACGATCTCTGACGGTGTGCACCCCAACCAAGTTGTGCCGACTAAAAGTTGAAATCGGCATATAATGCCTCAATTACCGCTTCTTCATAAAGACGGATGCACACGGAAGACTTCCATTTGGCCACGCAAGTGCGAAGGCCCTCCATAAAGACGGGCACTGTGACCGACTTGGGGATCGGCTGCCATGCCGGCAAGGAAAGGTGGCAACTCTTGAACAAAGTCTTCCAATTCCTTCTTGCCCTGTCGGGCGGCAAGGAAACGCGATCGCACGCGATATGGCTGGTTAGGCGGCGAGAACACTAGCAAAAACTGCGGCTGTAGCTGCTTTCAGGAGAAGGACGCCGTGCAAACCAAAGTACCGCACGTGAGTGCCCATTCTCGTGCTCGGCCTCTGAGCTTGGAGATAGCTAGCTCCAGTTGCTGTTGCCTCTCTCACCCACGACAGGAGATTCTCTCAATCCTTACCCTCGAAGGTCTTAACACTCACCATGATCAGCCTGAGTCGGAAGGAGTCATCCGTCGTAAGCCCGTCATGCATGCCCTGAGGCAAGAAGGAGTATTCTTTTATCCTCACAGAAGATCAGTCGTAACAACTCAGGCGTAGATAGACTACGAGTGCTACCTAGTGCGGCGGGTTTGCCGTAGCTCTTTGGTAAGAGGAAGCTAAGCTTAGGTCACCGACCTTACGTTCTATACCAGAACCTGTACGAG